GCCCAATCAGCGTCAGTATAGCCGATCAGACCACCACCAGATCCGTTATACACCAATCTCCAATGTTTAGTCGCTTTCAAATAGCGCACCACTCGCTTCGCTGCTACCCAGCATGCCTCCGTAGGAGCACTCACTTTACGGCCAAGTATTGCCGTACTAACAGCAATATCCGGCCTAGCACACACAGCAATATACAGAAGGCCGCCAACCAAACTTCTGAACTTCGTTTCGTCAGCGAAAGAGGCACTCGTATCTTCCACTTTTAAAAACCCTTCGTCCATTGGCGTCTTAGCAACCTTTGCATCACTCAATCCAAACTTGTCAATAAGTTTATCGATGTAGCCTTCGAGGCTCACACTATACTCACCCTTCTCTCGCTTAACCTCCAGTCCCAGGAAGTAGCTCAAGTCTCCGAGATCGGTGATCTCAAAATGTCTCTTCAACGATTGGTACACTGAGTCAATCTTCTTTTCATCTTCACATCCAACCATTATATCGTCAACATACACTAACAGGAATACCCTCTTCCCATCTTCGATCTTCATGTATAAGCACTGATCAGAACTACTCTGCTGAAAACCCATGTCCACAAGAACACCGTGTAATTTTTGGTTCCAGCAACGTGCGGACTGTTTGAGTCCGTATATGCTTCTTTTCAAACGGCAAACCAAGTGCTCCTTGCCTTTCTCCTCGTATCCAGGCGGTTGCCGCATAAACAAGTCCTGTTCAAGCTCTCCATATAAGTAGGCCGTTCTGATGTCGAAATGCTTAAGTGTCATTTTCTTCTTTGAAGCTAGAGCAAGCATCATGCGAAGAGTCGTATGGCTCGTGACGGGAGCGAAAACTTCATCGTAATCCTCGCCGAACCGCTGCGAATAGCCTTGAGCCACCAGACGCGCCTTGTGTTTGGTCACCTCCCCAGCTGCGTTCCGCTTCAATTTGAAGACCCAGCGGCAACTTACCACCTTCCGTCCTGCAGGTAACTCCATCAGCTCCCAAGTGCCATTCTCCGCATGTGATTTCAACTCGTTCACCATTGCTGCTCTCCATTCTGCGTTTTCCTTACAGGTTAATGCTTCCTTCAGATTCCTGGGTTCAACTGCAGTATGTACAGTACCCGTTGCATAGGCCTCTTCAATCAACCGTACTGCCGCGATTCCTTTGTTCGGACGACCGGATCTGCGTGCGATTTCATCCATAGCAAAACCTCGGAACGATGGTTCCTCATCGGTCGCGCTATCGTACTGCGTTGCATCAAGATCGGTATCATTTATTTCGCCAACACTTTCCTCGGCATTATTTGTACCGGCCGCCGGATTCTCGAGCGGTGAAGTAGGTCCGAGTGACACTACCACTACTCCTCCTGACGTCGAAGGCTCCTGTTTGGCAACCTCAACATCGCACTGTTCCAAAAACTTCGCATCCCTGCTAATGGTGATTCCTTTCGTTTCCAGATTCACGAACCGATAGGCCTTCTGCCCCTCCGCGTAACCAACGAACACCAATTTCTCCGCCTTTTTATCCAGCTTCCGGCGCTTCTCCTTCGGAACATGTACGAAGGCTTCCGATCCGAATACTCGAAAATATCCGTACGCAGGCTTCCTCCCGTACCACAGCCCGTAAGGGGTAGACTCTACCGAAGACGAAGGCAAGCGATTCTGCAGGTAGTTGGCAGTCGAAATCGCCTCGCCCCAAAACAGCTTCTCCATCTTCGAATCCGCCAACATGCACCGCATCATCTCAACGAGGTACCGGTTGGTACCATTCTGTTGAGGCGAATACGGAGCCGTCCGTTGATGCACTATTCCATGATCAGCAAAATACTTCTGCAGAGACTTACTGCCATACTATATACGATCTGATGACTTTCGGATAGTGCCCAAACTGGTTGCGTACCAAAGCACAATACTCGCGAATTTTCTCCTCGGCCTCCGACTTCTTATGCAACAGGTAGATAACCGTATAACGACTATAGTCATCCACCATTGTCATAAAGAATCGACTACCGCGCGCTGTTGGCACCTCCATGGGTCCTCCCAAGTCCGTGTGCACCAAATCACCAACAACTGAAGCTCTCGAAGATGAAACTTTCGGAAATGATTCACGGCTCAACTTGCCCTCACAGCAGGATTCGCAAACAGACTTTACGTCACAACGATCCACTTTTAAACCGTGTCCCAAATCATTCCGCAGAATCTTCATTATCGCCTCCATGTCACGGTGCCCAAGCCGACGATGCCACAGGTGTAAACAGGAAACTCCATGATTCGAATACGCTAACTTGGCTTGCTCCGGAAAACGCTGCAGGTGATATAGGCCACCCTTACGTTGACCCACTAACAGCACATTTTCGCCTTTCAGGACTCTGCACCCGGTCTTATCGAACGAAACTTGAAACCCCAAATCAGTAATTTTACTCACCGAAAGTAGGTTTGTTGCGAGCGACGGCACATGGTACACGTTGTCCAGCGAAACGTTCATCCGAGCACCATTTCCGTTCACGGACACAAGCTTGCTACTTCCTGCACCAGTCGATTTGATGCATTGGCCGTCAGCCAACGAGATTGTTGATTGCTTCGATTTGTCCAGCTTCACCAGGATAGATGCGTCGTTTGTCATATGAGAAGTGGCACCAGAGTCTAAATACCACAACCCGGCTTCTTCAGCTCTCCCAACGAACAAACACAGATCCACACTATCTTCTGCTTCAACGGCCACGTTTGCCTTTTCACAAGCTGCTTTTTCCTTCCTGTCAGCCACCAACTTCCGGCAGTCTCGCCGAAAATGGCCCTCCTTACCACAATAATGGCACAGTTTTTCTTTCTTCTTGTCATTTTTCTTTTCACTTTTAAATCTACTCTTCTCACTACCTCCACTCGACACCAGTGCTTTTTCTTCTCCTAGACCTTCCTGCGCTCGACGTCGGCCTTCATCCAACAGCTTCCCTTTGACGAAGTCGACCGTGAGGTCTGCATCTGGTCGACTCTCCAACGCCACGATCAAGCCATCGTATGATTTCGGCAGGCTCGACAGCATCAAGGCTACGAACGACGGATCCTTCATTTCTTCACCAAGTGCGATCAGTCGAAGCCGCAACGACGTGAGCTCCTTCAGGTGCTCTCCCATGTTGCCACCCTCCGACATCCGGGTAGCAAACATCTGGCGCATGTCGTGGATTTTACTCGAAAGAGATGACCGCTCGTGGTATCCCTTAAGAGCGTCCCACATTTCCTTCGACGTAGTGGTCTGCATCACGTGAATTAGCTGGCTGTCTTCCAGTGCCAGACCGATCAGCGCCCTCGCCTTCTCGTCGTTTGCGAGCCACACAGCATCAGGTTCCGCAGGTTTCGGCTCCGACACAACTTTCAGCACTTTTTCACGGGACATTAGAAGCTGCATTTTGAACTTCCAGATTGTGTAGTTCTGGTCGCTCAGCTTCTCAATCGAGATGTGTGATTCCGCCATCTTGTTTAGTGCAGGCACGAACACGTTCACTCCCGACTTGTTTACTTCGCAAAATCCACTTTTTCCGCGACGATGAACCGCAAAACTCGATACTTTCCACGATTACCTGGGCCCATAACCTATTGGTCAGAGGTTTTCATCAGAATTGAAAGGCCGAGTTTAGTTCACGAACAATAAAAAGAAACTTTATTTGAGAAACGATGTTAACACTTCGAATGTTCGCCCACGAATGAAAATGGCACCTACAGTACCTTTTTGTTTTCTCTTCTCACAGTGTTGCCACCAACCAAGATGAATGAGTAAGGTGGCACGGCAGTTGTACTCATAACAGACCCATCAACTCATGAACCGGAGACCAACGGCTTTACTTCCCTTCCGAACGAAGGCATGATCAGAGATGTTATGCCTCAGAACATCCTGGCGGCGCCAACTGGGATTGAACCCAGGCCTGCTGGGGTGAGAGGCAATCACGCTTACCACTACACCACCGGCGCCGTTCCATAATTTTTAAGTTATTAAGGAATAGTCTATGACAAATGAATAAAACATATTCATTTGCTTGCTCAACATGCACACTTTGATCAATATCACCTTTACCTACGATTTTAATGGGAAAATCTGTGTAAAACAACTTTGTTGTAGACAATAAATCAATTCGACTTCTGTTCAAAAAGTTTTGAACCATTTTTTATCTTGTATTTATGACCTGAAGTAATAGTACCATGCGTAATAGTAATTTTTTTTTAAATATAAAAAGATTAAAAAAATGTATTCACAAAAATGGTATAGAGAAATTGTAGAAATCTGTGTTTTAAGATTTAAAAAATAAATTAATTATGAATAATAAATTATTTTTGGATAACAATAACCAATAACTCCTGGAAATGCCAGTTTGAAAATAGTTAGCGGTTATCGGTTTTTGTTAAGCAAAAAGCTCTCGTCATTTTGGGTAAAATAGCAAAAGAAATTGAATGACGCGAGATTTTTGCTATCTGAAACGATGCGTCGAGAAAAACTGCTTTTGAATTTCTCGAAAATTCATCAAAATAAATTGAACCTTAAAATAGTAGAAAATTTGAAAAAAATTAAATAAAAAAGATGTTTTAAAACTTCTCTCACATAGGGGAAATGTTGGCTTCGGCAATACCTTAACATATTATTGGCAGGGGGTAAACAAAGTCCTAGAGCACTCAAATTTGGCCAATAGATGCTCTGAAACACAATGTATTCACATGCCAAAATTGAGCTCTCAAGGACGTTGTTTACCTCCTTGACGATAATAGAATAAGGTATTGCCGAAATTTTAAAATCTGCATCATTATTACGGCTTTTATGATCATTTTTTATAAAAATTAATTGATATTATTCGTGTTTCTATAGTTAAGTGGTTCTGCCTGGTAAATTTACTAATTTTATTTTACAAAAAAAAAAGAATTCCGGGAGATAGTACATTCTGGGAATTGTCATACAATCGTTAAACCTGGTTTAAGGCTTAAGCGGAGGTGAATAAATTGGCCCTAATAATCATAGATTACCTTCGAATGTCCTACGATTACAAATATTTTGTGCTGCAGATGCTGGATGATAAACTGATTAGTCTCTGCAACGGCTTGTTGATTGGTGTCGAAGAAATTTTGTATAGCCTGTAAATATTCCAATAGCTTTCCCACTGCATGGAACATTTGCTGGCTGATGGATTCGTGCATCAGCAGATGAAGCGATGTTATCGATTGTACGAGAAAACTGATCTCCTTAGCGTACTGAACGCCTTCGAAGATAAGACCGCACTTTTGGCGCAGAGTGTCCAAAGTGGTGTCATACTTCGTTGTCTTAAAGGCTGCACTGATACGAACTAGCCAACTGGTTATCTGAATGCAATATACCAGTATATCTTTGACCATGCTTTTCTTTCTGTATGTAAGTGCAGCCTCACGCGCCTTGCGGTAGTCATTTCGATCGCAGTCCCGAATAGATTTGTGGCCATATTTACGGAAGAAATCGTCCGGAATCCACATCACCTTACCAATCAAAGGTACGCCACAAAACTGGTAGGATTTAATAAATTAAGTTAACAACTAACCAAAGCTTGATCTATGCTATTCTTACCTTATCATTAATATCCATCAAATTTTTGATCACTTTGCTATCGATACTAACGAAAATGTAGTGATACAAGTTGACCATCGCATTGAGCTTAACAACATTTGTAGTTTCTTCGATGTTGGAAAGATTAGCATTGTAGCTGCTAGCTTCGGTTAAACGCTGCCTAAGATATTTCTGGAACTTCTCCGATAATACTGACCCCGATTCAATCACCAACTTCTGCTTTGCATTGAACATTGCTTCCAGCATGTGCTGAAATGAGATTTAATAGATTAACACGAATTCTGAAAACTTTTAAGCTATAACTTACCTTATAGGCATTCTCATCAAGCCATACCGATATTTCATCTATTGCTTTATTCAGATCATAGATCTGATCCGTTTTGATAGGCCTGGATAACTTTTTTGGATTCAGCTTGAGTCCTTTCATCTGCTTCACGTAAAACTTCCAATAAGTTTTGAAAATTGAGCTTCCCAAGACATAGTCAAAAATCAGCGGCATGTAAACCAATTCTGACAAGTAATTAAACATAAGCTGAAATATCGAGATAAGCTGTGATCAAAGAATAAATACAAATCAAGCCTTGCTTACATCCATCTCCCAGTTGGTATGATTGAAATGTCCCAGCTTATGCGACGGATCGAAAAGAGCCCCCAGCTGCAGAACAATAACGACGGCCACTTCCACGATTCGTTCAAAGTAGCATTTGATTCGTGCAAGAAGTTCAATCTTCCCACTTATGGCCAACAACGACGATCGACCAACAGCAACCATGCTCTCTTCGCGTAACTGTTCCGTACTATCGTCCAATGATTCATCAAAGCAAAGAAACTCTCGAACGATGGCCTCAAATTCTTCCTTCAGTTGATCAACTTCATGGCACAATGCACTGAACGAGTAGAGGATCTTGTTCAAAATCTTATTGTCGGTGTCGATCAGTTGAATGCAGCTAAGATCTTCTTTCGACGAATCCAAATGAATTGATATCATCGGAATGGTTGACTCGTCGCAGTCCTTAGTAGACATGAACCGTTGCAATTTAACATCATAACCCTCTAGGAATAATCCAAATTCCTTAATTTGTGTTGCTCCGTAATAATCTAAAGTGGAAAAAAAATAACCCGATGATTCTACCAGCTCACCGCTATTATTAATCGAATTTACTCACTAAGGTTTTGTTGATTACGGTGCATTTTTAATATGATCAGCAACAAATGTATGCATAAAATTTATTCGACGCTAGGAATGCAAAAACAAAATCCTATTAGTCAAATTAAACCTAAATTCAATAATAATAATTTATTATTATTAACGAATCCACCATAACAAAGTTTGAATAAAAATCCTGGTAAAGTAAAGGTAAACAAAACACATAAAGAAAACACTTCAGGCGTTACGAAGCTTCCAAATGTCAAAATCCCCAGTGCAAACGAAAATAAATCAAATTAATATGTAAATATGTCCCAGGTTTTGATTCGCTATGAAAGTTTGACAGATAACATCAGGGGTGTGTGGATTCATGCAGAACATGCAGGGGTGAGTGAAATAGCTTGGGACTGCTTGGGACCGTTGTTCTGGTACTGAGTGAGCCAAAAATAATAATGATTTTCTTCGGGACCCAGTGGTCTTAGAGTTACCTCTATGGTACTACCATAGAGGTAACTCTAAGACTAGAAGGTCCCGAAATAACGTGCTCAACTTTTTGGCTCAGCTCTGGTACTCTCTTCGGTCCCCAGCTAATCGATTCACCCCTCGAAACATAGGAAAAACCAATAACCCCTCATTTTATCTGTCAAACTTTCATAGCGAATCAAAACAAACATTGCGTAGTACTAGAATTTCGACTAGAATAGGGTACGTTAATCGTTTGCTTGGGACCAATAGGCTACTAAAGTGGCGAGCCAATTTAAAATCGTTAGTTTCGTATTGATTGTTGGTACTACGCAATGTTTGTTTTGATTCACTATGAAAGTTTGACAGATAAAATGAGGGGTTATTGGTTTTCTTATGTTTCGAGGGGTGAATCGATTAGCTTGGGACCGAAGAGAGTACCAGAGCTGAGCTCTACTCGTAGAACTTAAATTATGCACTCATAATGCTTAAAAACAAACAAATAGTGTTGAAAACATAAATGACCTATGTAACTGTGATTATAACAAAACGTCCTATATAACATGTCCAATGTACACCTGCACACTTAAATTTTTTCGCCGAGATTCCAACAGCCGAGTAATTCTGCAATTTATTTTGCTGAGATTCAGTAAAACAATTGCCGAGACTCAGCTAACAAATAACATTTTGCTGAGATATCAGCTAACAAACAGATATTTTGCAGAGATATCAGCAAAAGTGAATGCCGAAGTAATCGGCTGTTGGAGATTTTACCGAGCTAGATTAAGTGTGTGACAAGAGCAAAATGTCCTATGTAACATTTTTCACGTTTTCATAGAAAAAAATGTATGAAACGGGTAGATTATGATTTCAATTTCAATTTTACTATCACATTTCAGTACTAACATTTGAAAACGGCGCAAAATCCATTTGTAAACAAATGGTTTGTGGGCCCTTTACTCGCTACTCGAAGTACACCCACGCAAACCAACAGCATCGTCAGGAAGGGGAAGATTTCCCCTACCCGATGTAGCTGTTGTGTTGCGTGGGTGTACTTCGAGTAGCGAGTAAAGGGCCCACAAACCATTTGTTTACAAATGGCTTTTGCGCCGTTTTCAAATGTTAGTACTGATTTTACTATTAAAGGTCTTAAAAATGTCAAAAGTTGACTGGTTTAAAATAGTATCAAAAAAGATTTTGTCAATCTTCAACCTCGTTTTTCTCGAAAAGAGTGAAATGTTAGATAGGACCTTTTGAAAAGTTAGGCGAGATTTGTTTATAAATGTTGATAGTACCTTTTCATTTGTTGGTCTAAAATATAATATTGAATTGGTTCCACTTTTTGATACACGGATAGAAATCTCCTTATACCTTTTGGCAAATTTCCATTGCTGATTATTCATAAAATGTATAAGTCAACTAATAAGCAGACGCCTTGCAAAAAGTTAATAAAGATCATGTGTCAAATGAAATGTATAAGCGGTCACACATACCTTTTATGCATTCTAATACACACAAAAAATAATCGCTAATAAAATTTTAAAAAAACATTCGTCGAATTAAAAGTTTGCATTGGTTCTTTTTGGTAGAAAGCGAGGTAGAAAGCGCTTGGCTTTCAAAATGAAAGTAATCCAACTGTCAATTCAAAAGTTTCCTGCTACTTTCTTTTAAAAGTTTAAGCTTTTAAAAAGAATTGTATTACTGTCAAATAAAAAGTTTGGTAGTGCAGAAATTAAAAGTGGATTATGTTTAATTCAAAACATAGATTTTACGAGAAAATTCTGCATAGTTAAAATAACATGTGCCATTTTAAGCTGAAAAAAAATATTTTCAATTTAAAACCAAGCATTTTCAACATAATAACTTATTTTTTTTATTTTAAATTAAAGTAAATATTACATTTAAAGTTTTTATAATTTGATTGAAAGGTCACACATATATTTCTTTTGTTTCCAAAACATATAATAAATTATAATTATTAGTCGTTTTCGAGGCTAATAGCGATGATGTTGACATCGTGGCTGTCTTCCTTCTCGATCTTTACCTTGGGGATCGAACGATCAATTTTGGACGGGGGTCCATCGGTTCGAACGTGGACCAGGTACTGGCAGCCTGGTGGATTCCAACGGCAATGCACGTTGTATTCGCTGGTACAGAAATCGTTCGTACCCGCTTTGGGAAGGGTTCACCATTCAGTTTCTCGTTCACCGTTGCTCCCCTGAATCGGGGTCTTCCATCAATGTCCGGAGGTAGTATTTTATGGTCAAAAGCGATTACAACATGATGGTTCCGTGTTCTGATGCGAACAGATTATTCGATAGCTCTCCTCTCCGAACAGGGAAAGCAACATCCTAGGCAATCGAATTACGGTGCGAATCAGTCATCATCTTCAATCTCCGCTGTGGATTTTGCCTACATAAAACCGGAAACGAAAAGGTTACAAGCCACCTAATTTTCATTAATTAAATTAACATTAACTTACAGTCCCACTTGCATCTTGCTTAAATCCATCTCAGGGTTTGCCTTTTTGTCATAGCCGACAACTTCATTGGACTGTCTTTGCCCCACGTATGTTCGGATCAGGCTCAGGATCAGTTAAATGCGGCTTTGCTTCTCGCTCAGACCCATGGCAATAATCGATAGCTTCTTGATTGAGTGGAAGAGGAGCTGTTAGTGGAGAAAAAGACGATATGTATGTACTTTGCATTCATATGGGGAAAATTTACTCCCTTAAATTCCTAACGAATCACCTGAATATAATCATATATATATAGGTCAACACCACGACCGGGTTAAGAGAATCATTTACTGGAAGCTATTTAAAAGTATTTATGAAACGTAGGTTCCACCCACGCCAGAGAACGAAATCTTCATGAAACGTCACTATTTCTCTCCGTTTTTCATCATTATCCTAGTCATTGTCCTCAATAAAAAAGGGTCGCACAATCAGAATAACATTACCAATCGATGCTCACGTTTTCGCACTTGATCCGGATTGATTCCACTACTTTTCCGGCGGAATTGAACAAACTGATCTCTCATTCTGAAACGCACTATTAAAAATGTAAAAAAGGCGGTAAATGAAGGTTCAGTGCTGCCATAGACCTTTTTGACGTTTAATCGTCTTTCTCTATCTAGCACACATGGATGAATGCACGGTTTGTTTTCCCACTAATCTATTTTCCTCTTGCTCGCACTCGTTCGATTTAAACGGTGCAGTAGTATGCGCCGATTAAACGTCAAAAAGCTCTATGAAAAATGTCGGTATTTTTGACAGTTGAATAACTTTTCATTTAAAAAAATGCACTTTTAAAATTACACGTCAAAATTGAAAGAAGCACTTTCAAATCAAAAACATAAATTTCGATTTATATATTTTCATAGTTGAAACTGCGAGTTTTGAGAAACTTTCAATTTGAAAATACAATATTTTTATTTGAACAATTTTTGTTCTTTGTGTGTAGGACCTATGTGGTTTGTCTTATGGAATGTATAAGGCTGATGCTTTGGCAAAAATGTATAAGTGAAACACATGAATTAAATAATTGATTTTCGTTTCGTGTAGATCATAATTCTATCCGCCAGACTACACAGAAAAAAAAGTTGTTGAATATTACATCCAAACTGCTGCAACCAGGTCAATCCATCGGTTGTGTAATATAACGTTGTACCAAGGGGCAAGACATTGTAATATATATTTAATATATTTGAAAGATTTGGCGGGTTTCAAAATATTAGCGATATTTCGCTATATATTTTCTCGCTGTCAAGAAACTGATGAGTTTTTAATTCAGTGTTTGTTTCTTGTCATCGTAGAAGAAGATGGTGGCCGAATGTTGATAATATCAACTCGGCTCATTTTTTTTCTTGTTCGTCGGCGATCAGCACAGGCGAGTAAGCTGGACAGGAATATTCAAGACATTTCAACTTTCTGCAACGAGAAGAACTCATCGATGTTCCGATGCCGGTGTATCTGCGTGCCTAGCAGATAGAAGTTGATAGCACCGAGATTCTCGAAGGAAAACATCAAGTACCAATTTTTATTTGTTTCCAGTTTATGGATACAGAGGAGGAATTCGAACACAGACACCTGCGGGGGCATCCGAAAATGAATTCTACGATAGATCCCGACGAAACCGAAAAAATCTCCAGATGGGAAAATCGAGTGATCCCGATGGAAAATCCGATGATCGATCCCGCACACGGATTCCGATGCAGAGTCCAAAGAAGGCTCCCGATGGGGAAAATCTTATGGTGGGTCCCGATGGGGAATCCGAAGATACACCTTGATGGAAAATACGTGAAGTAAGAGATGTATTGGGAACCTATGATCTTCCCTACATCCAGGCGGTCTACGAATTCCTTTGTTTGTCTGATGTAAGAGTTTGATGTGACCATCCCCTCCTTTCCACACATCTTCCAGCCATTGTGTCCCAGTATTATTATCCTCCTATTTCTGTGCTACTTGCCCTTGCCCAGTCAACATTTGGTCAACCGTCCGAGAAGAGTATCTGAAGGAGGCTTCAGAAACCAGTTTCCTACCTAGATCCTTCCAATTGAAATTGTTACCTATTAGCCTCGAGCCCGCCACGAGTAATTGGTACCCAATCTAACTTAGATTTACTGCTGTATAAAATGTAAATTCAAACATTACTGATTTTTGGCTCCGTTAAGTTAAGTTAAATTTATATT